ATAGACTACTTTGAGTTATATCAATTTATTTATATTGAGTGTTGTCCCCATGAAAAGATATAATAAAATATTTGTAAAAATGTTAGGGGTGTACTCACTTAAGTGATATACTGCTAGCTAAATTACCTCAGCTAGCAGTCGGGGCTGCAACGGCATGCAACCAGTGACAGGTTCCAACTTACCGTTTTGGTTCATTCACCGAAGGCTTCAAGCGTGGGTCATCAATGCCACTCTGTCAACACTGGTATAAACTAGATTTTTGGCGGTTGCATAGGTGACGTCAATGCGTTGCTATTAGTAACAGGCAAAACTTGATGATATTGAGTTGTTTGAGCTCAAACACATAATTACAATAAGATAGGCCATTAAAAAGTACAGTTTACTCAGAATTCATAATTAATGTAAAGAAATGACATGTTTAAGTAATACAAACTCAGTTTGTTTGAGTAGAAACTACTGATTGGACTTAAAAACACAATTACAATAAGAAAGGACATGAAAAAGTTCAGCTTAATCAGAATTAACAAGTAATGTCAATAAATTAGACACATTTAAGTAATATGAACTCAATCTCTTTGAGTTGAATCAAAATCTGGGTTTACAGAGGCATAAAGACTGTATCACCAGAAAAGCATTTCCTGATGAATAACAAGAAAAAATAGAGAACTATAACCTTTAAATCACCTTTAAAGACAGACTGAAATGGATTGAACATATGGTTCAGGGAAATCCTTAATCCACCATTAAACTGCAAATTAATAAAGTATTACAAATGCAAATGATAGAAAGCTTTGAGTACTGTAAGTGAAGAACATACACAAACACCAACTGTTTCTCTGTTGGTTCGAGGCTTAAGATCAAGCCACAAAAGATACAGTTTATCCTTGAGCACTACAAAGGGATGTAGCAGTAATTTCTTAATAATTTACACAGAATGAAAATAGACGGCAGCGGTGACGGCAGAAGGTGAGGGGCTGGGAGGAGGCAGGGAAACTGGTGGGGAGTGACTCACTTCTAGTTTTAACTCTCAAAAGGTCTGTTGAGATCAAAAAGAATCAGTCTACATCAGACAAGACCAAGCATGCCAAATGTGACATGAGGGTGGGATCAGTTAGATTCTATATTTAACTGCGATGACGCCTTTTGGTTGTGATGCATGTGAAATGATACTGATACAAATGTTAGAGTGGAGAAAGCCTGGAATGAAGGGCTAAAAGGACAGTGAAAGATAGATACTGGGAGGACTGTCAAACAAGAGCACTTTTCAGGGATCATTAACTGTAATCTCAGTGTGATCTAAATGATGGATCTCATTCCCTCAGTCTGGCAGGCACTTCACGAAAAAGTTAGCAGACACTTTACTGTCTCCTTTACATGCAAATGAGTCCCAGCACCGTCTGCTTAGAAAGACTTTATCAGTGCATCTTAAACTCTTTCCTACACAGGGGAAGCCATAACATAATTTTATAATAACACAAGCAAAAATAATAAAACTGAAGCTACATCTGTAATGAGTCATGTCAAAACAGAATTCACTAATGAGGCAATTCTTGAATAGTTTTTAAAATGT